TGGTTTTTCGAGACAGGGTTTCTCTGCATAGCTTTGCGCCTTTCCTGGAGCTCACTTGGTAGCCCAGGCTGGCCTCGAACTCACAAAGATCCACCTGGCTCTGCCTCCCGAGTGCTGGGATTAAAGGCGTGCGCCACCACCGCCCGGCCGCATTAATTAGTTTTTAATCTATCATGTTTATCAAAAAAAGTTCTACGCTATAGAGGGAAAAGAAAACTTTGGTGACTTTGAATTCCATCTCTGCTACTTACCCGCTGGATGAGATCTACGTGTGTGTGTGTGTTTAAATATTAAAAAAAAAAGTTTATTTATTTATTGGAGGGGTGCCATGGCACCCCACGTGGAGGTCAGAGGACAACCTGCAGGAGTTGGTTCTCTCCTTCCACCTTTCGCGTTTCTGGGACAGAACTTTAGTCATCAGGCATGACAGTGCCTTACCCACTGAGCCATCTAGCCAGCCACAGCTGTGAAACCTTCAACAAATGCCTTACACTCTAAACCTGTCATCTACAGCTACTCATGAGGTCCAAGATTACGTGTGTAAAGTGTCTGGCATGCTGAAGACACTCTGACTTCGTGAGGCAGCTATAACTAGTTATTCTAACTACATGCCTGCTCCAAGTTTAGTTTTCTTATATGTGAAAACAGGGACACTTCACAAGTGAGATTTTAAGGAGAAAAATTAATACTGCCTAAGGCCTGGAACATTGTAATTACTCCTAAAACGCCAGCAGCTAATCAGCAATGCTGTGGCTCTCTTTCAAAACACCCAGCTGAGGTCTTCCATTTTTCCTGGCATAGAGTCCTTTGGCAAAATGAATCTTTCTCTCCCAGGCTTCTCATGCTTGAGACACACCTACCAAAGTCCACTAAAGAGGCCCAGACGAGCCCAAAGGCAAAGGACCGGCCTTTCATTGCAGCGCTGTCCTGCTGGAGTCCTGCTTCTAGCCAGGAGCTCCGTCTCTCTGCCAGCCCTGCGGACTTTTCATCACCGGCTATTTCAGGCCAGAGTCCAAGATAAGCACCCCTCTTGGGCCTCCTTTCAGACAAAGCTCTCTGGAGGCTATGGGCCCGGGGACTGTCTGATCTTTGGTCTCTGGAGGAAGTGAAGCAACAATCTGGTCTTAGATGAAGACATCAAGAGCTCGAGGGACGGGATTGAGCAACGAGGCGGCAGAACCAGAAAGGTTGCCCTGATAAGAACGTTCTAGGGCACCCACAAAAGAGGGCCTTTGTTGCTTGTGGGGGCCTGAAGCTTACAAAGCACCTTCACACCCGGTAATATAGGAGAAGAGAGTCCCAGGCAGCCTGCGCGATTTGCCCAAGGTCGCAGGGAGCGAGGCACAGTTCTTCGCTGCACTTCCAAGTTCACAACACTGGGAGGAAGAATCGGGCAGTCTTCTTCCACCAGCAAGACACACAGGACAAAGAAGAGCGGAGCGCAGCGTGGAGGACACAAAGCAGCCGGGACTCAGGGACGTGAGGCTGGGGGTGAGGGTCAGGACGGGAATCTCGGGGCGTGGGAGTGACAGTCCGTGCTGACCCTGGGAGGGCTTAGGGGCGGGGTGGATTCTGACGGGATTTGTCTGAATAGAAAATAGAGACAATGAAGAGCAAACATTAGCGTGCAGATTCTGAGACTGAAAGACAAGAAGGCCCACGCTGGCATAGAAAAAGGTCTTTGGATAGCTCAGTTGAGAACTGGAGCTCTCGCCAATCAAACTTACCCAGTCGCGCTGATCACTCAGAAGCAATCTCAGAAGGGTGGCTCGACGGAAACCCGACACCGCCCAGGAGCCCGTGGCCCTCTGGGAGTAGTAGTTCCTTTCACTTAACATGCGAGCTTAAACCTTATGTTCTGCCTCTAGTTGTTAAACTACAAGTCCCGAGGCGCAAAGCGAGAGACACCGCCTTGCCACCCCAGGACTACAATTCCCAGAGTTCCCGACTACAGCTTGGTGGAGTCAAACCAGCCGAGGCCAGGGATGCGGTGAGATTGCTCCCCCTGGTGGTCTGAGGAGCCGCAGCCGAGGTGACACGTCTCAGGCGGAGGGTTATGGCACTGGCAAGTAACCCTCCGCCTCACCGGTGCTCACATAGTTCCCAGGCGTGCCTGGAAAGACAGCTGGCTTCGTTTTCTTCTCAGGAAGATGTGGGGATGGAAGGTTGTTTTTGTTCCTGTAGACCTGCCCTGTAAAACCACGAGACCGATGGTTCAAGCTGAGCGCACATCTCTGGCCGTCAATCGCCCCTGTTGACACCTGGGGTTTTCCATTGTTCTCGGGGGACTCTCTTAAGCGGAGAACAGGGAGGAACCCAGAGGGGCTGGGGTCCACATCTCACCCTTCCTTCCTGTGTGCACCTCCGTTTAGTGCCCCGGGCTGGGTTTTTGGAGACGCGTTGATGAACGAGATACTGTCCCGAGGGTCAAGAGAATTCGCTCTCTAGCCGAATTCAGACAGGGGTGGGGAACCACAGCGGGAGGGGGAGCCTTGGAAAGCAGCCGCCCAAGCTAGAGAAAAGGGAACCGTGCCGCAAGGCGCTCAAAGGACAGAAGGAAAGGACTTTGTACGGGAGTGTGGAGATTTCAGACGAGACAGGTCGAGTTCAGTCTAACGGAGCCACAGGACGCGAGGGCTGGAATGCAACGTCCATAAATGTCAACAAAACATGACGCTCAAAAATCATGGGTGTTGGGGTACATGTCTGTAACCCCAGTGCTTAGGACACAGAGGCCAGGCCTAGACCGTATGGCGAGGCTGTCAAAATTCCACCACACACACAACTAAAAATACTCAACAGTTCTTTACAACCCACTGAACGAGGCCCCAATTTCTTACCCTGGCGTTTAAGTGCTGAGTCCACCTCGGTGTTGTTCATTCCACCCAGGCAGGAGTCCTCGTCCTCCTGACAGGAATCTCCGTCCTCTGACAGGAGTCTCCGTCCTCTGACAGGAGTCCCTGTCCTGTCATCTGACAGAAGTCCCCGTCCTCCACCCAACCCCAGCTGTATGCAGTGAACACCTCAGCCACCTAAGGATGCTCAGTTCCCTTTGCTCCCCCCACTCTCTAGCTTGACCACAGGTATTCTGGTATCTTGAAGGGCTCTGCCCAGCCTGCTGCCCTCTACTCTTAGCCTGCTTCTGAGGTTCACTCTCCAAGACAGTTTCATGACCCCCACTGTCCCAGTGGACCTCGGCGTCTTCTCAGTCGATGGAACATTTACAGACTTCTTGCTGGGAGTCTTACCTTCACTTTATGGCATCAAGCAGGATGAAGGTCTTTTTTGTTTGTTGTTTTGTTTTGTTTTTCAAGACAGCGCTTCTCTGTATAGCCCTAGTTGTCCTGGAACTCACTCTGCAGACCAGGTTGGCCTTGAACTCAGAGATCTGCCTGCCTCTGCCTCCCGAGTGCTGGGATTAAAAGCATGCACCAACAAACTAAACTCTTGGAGGTCAATGGTCCTACATCTGTGATGTGCGTGTCCCATCGAGTCACCAGTGTCTGAAATCCTGCTTCAGGTTTCCCCAGGCTCATTTCTCCTCCTGAAACATATCACCACCACCATCCTTCCAGGAGCCATGATAAGGCCATCCGAAGAGAGACAGCAGCAATCTATTAAGCCCCGGATTCAGTCAAAGCTGTGGTTGTTGTTGGTGGACACAGAACATTAAAATTTTAGCGTAGACTGGAGAAGGCTTTCTTGGCTAATTAATCCAGCTGTGCAGCTGGCCCAGAACACGCGACAACACAGGGTCCCCTGGTCATGAGAGGAGGGGCTGTATTTCCATCATCGACTCCCCAGCCAGGCACGCTGACCTCCAATACTGCAGGATTTCAAGTCAGCTGCCATGCCAGCCTTCCCTTGTGCCTACGCCAGGATGAAGGAGATTTGGTCAGTAACATATAAAAAGCTGCTCTTTGTCCGGTAAGAAAAAAGGCAAGCATTAGCAGATTGGTGTCTTACCCACTGTGTATTTTGTGATCAGAGATGTAACAGCGTAGTATGTCTAAGAATAAAGACTCTGCTCTCTGCTTCCCGGATAAGCTGAGATCTTTGCCATCCTTCATTTTGGTGTCCATGGTCTTGTCAGTGTTCATCATTCACAACACACTTAGCTGGTGCTTGGATGAACAACTTTGGATTCCCTATTCCTCCTCCGCTGAAGTAGGACGATACCTTCTAAGATCAAGAAATTAGCCATAAACAGCATTATTTTTTTTGAGAGGGGGGGTTTACTATGTAGCCCAGGCTAGCCTCAAACTTGCACTCCTCTTCCCTCCATCTCCCAAGGGCACATGATACTACAACCAGCCTAAGCATACTAATTTAAAAAAATTGTAAGATTTACTTTTATCTTACGAGTGTTTCAGTACACATATATATGTGAACTGCATGTATATATGTGCATATATATCTGGTGCTTATGGAGGTCAGAATAGAGTGCTAGATCCCCTGGAACTGGAATTAAAAATGGTTGTAAGCTACCATGTGGGTGCTGGAAAACAGTTCTCTTAATCTCTGAGCCATCTCTCCAGTCCACTAAACATCTAATCTTAAATGTGTAACTCAAAACTGTGTGTGTGAGCATGTGTATGAGTGTGTGTGTGTGTGTGTGTGTGTGTGTGTGTACAGTACATACTTGTGAATGCGTGGGCTCCTGCACCAGTGGGTGTGCCTATGGAGACCAGGGCAGTATCCTGGATGTCTTACTCTATCACTCCCCACCTAATTGCCTTGAGACAAGGTCTCTTACTAAACGGGAATCTCGCTCTTCGGGCTCAGCGGACTTGACAGTGAACTCCTGGAATTCACCTGTCTCTGCCCGCCTATGTTGAGGTTTTAGTAACATACAGCCATGCCCAGCTTTTTATGTGGGTGCTGGGGATTCAAACACAGCTTCTCATGCTTCTGTAGCAAGTAGGCTTCCCCTCTGAGTCATCTCTCTAGTTCCCCTGGTTTTTAAAAAGATTTCTTTTACGTGCACGGGGTGTGTGGGGGGGGGCAGGTCTGTCAGTGCAGCACGTGTGTGCCTGGTACTTAAAGAAGTCTGAAGAGGGAGTCAGATCCCCTGAAACTGGAGTTAGAGGCCTTTGTGATCTGTTGTAGGCTCCCAGAGCCCACAATACCAGGAAAGGCTGCAACTTAAAACCAATCCCCTCCTAACCTCCAGAGAGAGAACCTCTGTTCTTCCTTCTCTCATCGTCCCAGGGTTCGGGGCAAGCAATGTCATAAATTTTGACAAGACTATTTTGTGCAATATCCATGCCGATGCCATTCTAGTCCAAGGTCACAGGGACACGTTGGTCAGTAAGCAAGCTGCATTTATCCTTGTGGCAGTGAAGGGTAAAGAAGGTGACGGGGACACACAGAACCAGTTCAGTAAAAGGGTGTTGGTGAAGGACTCCTCATTAAGTCTAGGTTTCTGATAGATTATTTTGGGTGAGTACTGAAAGAAACAGGGCTTTGCTTTGAGGTGGAGGCTTCCAAGAAGCATCAGGGCCAGAGAGCTGCCTCAGTAGGTAAAGGCAATTGTCACCAAGCCTGACAACCTGGGCTTAATCTCAGGGCCCACTTGATGAAAGGAGATAACACACACACACACACACACACACACACACACACACACACACAAATGTACTTTCAAAATTTAGAGAAGTAGCAATAAGTTGAAGAGAAGCTATCTTGTGGGTGCTGGGTGCCCAGGTTCTCTGGAGGAGCAGCCAGTGCTTTTAACCAATGAGCCATCTCTCCAGCCCCCACCCATGCTCCCTTGACCAAAGAATGGTCTTCCCCTGGGGATGTGGAGCTTGCAGGGTAGGGAGGGACACACACGGAGCAGCGGTGGAGGAAAGTGACACCAGCCGGATCAGATGAACCAACCTTGGTGATCAATGGAGTGCGTGGCCACCTGGCCCTCACATTCAAGAAGTCCGTACTGGAACCGAGTCCGACCATACCTATCAGTCAGTGATTTGCCTTGTGTCTCCTGTGTCGTTGGTCTTCCTACTGTTTTTTCTCATTTAATCCTCCAGTGGAATGTGCCTTTCTGTTTCCAAAAGAGAAAACAGCCTTCCCATTTTTCAAACAAGAAAACACAGGCGTGGAAGGTAACAACAGACCCTGTCAGTGCCGGCCTTCGTCTCTCCCGAGTCCCCTCGGTCATTTCCAGCCTGCCAAGAGCCCCTTCCTGCAGGGTCTGGTTTCTGTCCACTTGCTTCCTTGCCTGCGGCAAGTCCATAATGGAGCAAAGTGTCTCATCTAGTGTTGGAGAGAAGGCAGAAACTTCGGGAAGGGGCAGGGGAGAAGGCCATCCGCCTAAGGCACATGCCCAGTAACCTACTTTCTCCAGCCAGGCCCCACCTCTTAATAGCCCATTAATCTAATAGCCTGAATTCCTAGGTGGATTTACTCACCGGTAAAGTCAGTACCTTAAAGAGCAAAAGTCACTTCTCAATAGTGCCTTCAGCTGGCGATGTGGCTCAGTGGGCAGAGTAATTGCCTATCGTGCACAAAGCCCTGGGTTCGATTCCTAGCATCATTATAATGTGGTGACGCAGGCCCATAATCTCAGGTATAGACAGAAGGATCAGAAGTTCAAGTCATTTTTGGCTACAGAATGAGTTTGAGGCTAACTTGGGATATACAAGACCCTATCTTTAAAAAAAAAAAAAATGTGCCACCAGCTGGGGACTAGGCTTTGTTGGACACATAGCCTGTTTTAGGTGGAGGGGACAGGCATGTCACACCCATAACATTTATCTTCACTCCATCCCTGTACCCTCTACCTGTCCATCATCAGGAAGGACCGTGTCTGTGCCCAGTGCTTGGCATTCCTCAGCTCACCCTGTTGGTACAATAGATTTAAAAGGTCAGGTATACCATCTCCAGTCATACCAGCTCCACTTTGAAGGCAGGAAACAGAAGGAGACAGAGGCTATGGGGCTTGCCATGGTCTTCTACTCCATAACTGGCAGAGCCAGGATCGAAACTCCCATCTACCTCTTCTGCTATGACATCTTGACTCCAGGCTACAGAAAGGACTGGAAGAGGAATCTCTAGGGTGCCCATATTCTTCCTCTCTCAGGCCTGACTCCAGGCCTGGATGGGATTTCCCCGATCACCAGAGCCCTGGCTGGGAGTGACAGGAACCACAGAGCCCAGGAGAAGAGCAGACAGAAGCCTTTTATGGCGCAGAGGGAAGCTGGGCAGGGCATTCTGCATTTTGCTTTCTGGTTCCTTCCAGGCCTTTGAGAGTTTCCTTGGCCTCAGCAACATCCCGCTTCCCAGAATCTCTCACCAGAAATGATTGGTGAGACAAAGCCAATTCAGAGATGCCGGAGGCCAAGGCAGGGCCCAGTTCCCACTCCCTGTCTTCCCTTTCTGGCTCTCAGCCCTGCTATCACAGGCTCCATCAAAAGCCTGGCAGAGGCTTGCCTTCCTGCCAAGCATAAGGCGGCCTGGAGGTACGAAACTCTCATGTATTTAGGGATGGGGAGAGATGCCGAACAGGTTGGGAGTAGAGAAGTTACCAACCAAGCTCTCAGCCTCTGTTTACCCTTCTGGGGCCTCCCACAGCCCTGACACAAAGGTAGCAGCCCTTGTCAACAGCCCTGAACGCTTCCCATACGCAGACCAGTGTCCTGCCAGATTCGTTCCTCTTCCGTGTGCCAAGCGACTGCCAGTCCCTGGCGGGCACACACCTGGCCACCTCTCTGTTTTCTTACAGTTTCATGCTGCTCTCATAGCTTCAGCATCCTCTCTCACATCCAGTAGAGATGTCTCTCCTGGACCCCCTCCCCTGCTGCTGCCCCTCCCGCCCCGCATCGTGCGCCACTGTGTTCCCCTACCAGGACTATCCCCGTGGCGGTGCACGGAATGATGCAGTGACCTCCTCCCCGTGTGAGCCAAAACAAAGCCCTCCTTCCTTAAGTCTCTTTAGTCTGCTATTTTGTCACAGGGATGAGAAGAATAACCGATAATAGTCTCGATGGTAGTCCAGGCTAGCCTTGAATTCATAGCAATCCACCTGCCTCAGCAACCTGCGTGCGGATCATAGGCGTGTGTCATCATACCCAGCTTGTGTGGGTTTTATTCTAACTCGGATGGAAGCTACTGGGGATTGGCTTATAAATATTGGCTGCAGGGGCTGCTGGGGAGATGGCTCGGAGGATAAAGTGCTTGTTGCACAAGTATGTAAATACTGGCGGGGAGCGGCAGCCCACCTGCAATTCCAGGAGGAGACAGAGGAACCCAGAGCAAGCTGGAGAGCTAGACTAGCCACACAGGTGAGCTCTGGGCTTGATTGAGAGGCCTGGCCTCAGTGAATGAAGTGCAGAGCAGTTGAGGAAGACGTCCAGTGTCAGCCTTGGGTCTCCACATACATGCAGACACAGGAGTGCCCACACACGTGTGACTATGCTTATACCCACATACACACGAAGGACATAAATATTGGCTGCACTATTGCTTAAACGTCACAAAGGCCCCGGATCAAGGCATCTTCCATTAAAAGACCTTTTTCTTACAGATCTCAAGAGGAGGATGGACATCACGTCCTGGGAGGGCACCCAGGGAACTGCCTGAACAGTCGGGAGGCAGGATTCTCTAGTGTAATCTCCTTGGGAACAGGAGGGAGGTGCGGCAGGCAGGGAAGGCCTGGCCTATTTGTAGCATTTCAGCCGGCACGGGGATGGGGGTGGGGGTGGGGGTGAGGGTGGGGACTGTTCCTAGTTGGTAGCTGGTCCTGGCGGTTGAGCAGAACAGTGCCCTTGTAAGTGAGCCAACTGAGGAGGTGGGGGGGGTGGCCTCTGAGCCTTTGAAACGTCTACGCCACTCCAGGGCCAGCTTCTTACCCTCCCTTAACAAAGAGAGCCTTGGTAAGGATCCTGGCAAAGCTGGGGTCAGGGCTGCTGAGGAGAAAAGGGAGGGAAACAGAGGCCAGAGGCTAATGCCCAATGCCATGGTCTTGCTGCCAAATGATGGCAGCTGAACCAGGGTAGGGGTGGGGAGATGAGAGGTAGGCTTCAGGGTTTGTCTAGAAGTGCCACTGGAGGAACTTGATGAGCA